TTTGTTGGTTTGTTGTTTGTTTTTTTTTTTTAACTTGACATATTGTGTTTTGTAAAAGTTATTTAATCATTGTGTGGTGGGGTTTAAGGTTGGCCAGGGCTGTGAGTGGAAATGCCTGTCTCGTTTCCTCAAAGTTGAGGCACTGTCAAAGATTTGGTTCTTTAAAATTGTTTTCTTAAATGACAACCAAGAACAAAAATTTTCTTTGATTGCAAGCCTTTTTTCCCCCAAGAGATATATTCAGTTCCTAGAGGCTCTGTGTCACTTTTTCCTCTCATGCTGCAGTTGTTGGTGTCTTCATAGGTTGCAGCAAACTCTGAGTTCCTAGAAGTTAAAGTTTTGTGATCACTTCTCGATGCTCTTACTAATTTTCTTAGGATCTTTGCTCTCTGTGTGCCACAGGCTTCATGCCTTACTACTTTGCCAGAAATTTCTCTCAGCAGAAGGCACATAGGTGTTCACAGGGAAGGTGCAGTCCTTCCACTCAGGAGGAATTCACCTGAGCCTGAGCACAGCAGGCAGGACAAGGCAGATGCAGGCAGCCTTCCTGCTTGCAGCCCCACCTTTCTGAACAGAACATCGTGTGATGAGTGTGCCGTGGATGAACGAAACTCCTGTACACTCTGTTGAAAGTTGGGGTAAGATACTCAGTGTGATTATCTAACAGGGAGGTGATAATTGCACAGGGATTGGTGTCATAAATCATTTTAATTAAAAATAGTGCAATCTCTGAGTCTAGACAAGGCCTTAATTTCACTAATGCATCTACAATGCTTTTAAGATTCCTGATGAAAAGCACTCCAGATGTATCAATATCCTTTGGTAACGGCTGATGTTAAGTTACTCGCAATACCTTCTGAAGGGTGGATGCTGGCAGCAGCAGTAGTGACTGTTTTACATGATACCATATACATGTCTGTTGACTGTGCTCTTAGCTATGGTAATAAAAGCTTTTTGTTTCTCTTTTTATAGTGTAAAGAACTTGCCAAGTCAAAGGCAGAAGTTGCCTGTGTTGCTGTATATGAAACGGATGTGTTCGTAGTTGGAACTGAGAGAGGAAGAGCCTTTGTCAATTCTAGGAAGGATTTTCAAAAGGATTTTGTTAAATACTGTAAGTTTCAATGTTGTATTTTTGTATTTCACAAGCTGCTTAATGTGTATTGCATAATACTAATAACTTTGGGGAACAAAGTTCTGTATATCATGGCTACATGGCGTAATTCTATTGGCTATGGCAAAACCAGCTGATTAAGAACCTAAAAATGGTGAGTAATAATGGTCTTGTTTGGAATGTTATTTCAACTGTGGCTGGAAATGTTCATTTTTTTAGATAATGTGACAAACTAGTACAATTGGAAGTATTAGACTGTGTACCCTCACAGTACATCCTGCATTTCCTAGAGCATGTTAGTTTTAATTTGTATCCTCTTCTCCAAGTCTCTTTTCCGCTTGTGAAGGCTGGGTGGGACATTGAACAGGTAGTGGACTGCCTCAGCCAGCTCGGAGGGTCCTGGTTCTTCACGTCACTTCATGCCTTATTAAAGCAGATGCACATTTTTGACAAGATATTATTTTTATGTAGCTTTTTTCATATGACTGTTATTTACTAGACAGAAATACGCACGTATGCCATAATGACTTAAAATTACATCCCCATTACTTTTGTACTCCTTTAAGTACATCTAGGGTGGGTTTTGTTTAATTTCATTTCTACAGTAAAACAGTGCAATTTTTGTGTTCGTAAAACCTGATCCATTGAGCACAGGACAGTAGTTTTAGGAGTTGGGTTTCAAAGGTGCGGTGACTCCTTGGGGGAGCATTGATGTGCTCGTTTAGAAAAGTGTTGTTGATGGACAGTGTGTCATCAAGAACGAAATGTACCTTTACCTGCCTAGGGAAAGGGAGAAGGTGTAGGTCAAGAACAGGGTGCGAGAGAAGAATCAGTTTTGGGGGCAGTTTAAAAGCAGCAGCTGTGAAATGTTCTGGCTTGACTAATTAAGTACTTCTTGGAAAGCAACTATGTTTAGTCTGTAGCAGAAACATTTGCTTCTAAGAGTGCTTTTGCTGCTAGCTGAAATTCTCCTGGAGGTTTTGTCTTGAGGTCACTTGTTCGTGGCGGGGCTCTGGATTTTTGCCACTGTTCTACTCGCTTGGACAGTGACTTTCTGTGCGCCTAAGTATATTTATTCTAAGGAAAGTCACCGCAGTGTTGCGTTGTAACAGATAACTGATAACAAAATAACAAAATGAGGAATTATGGCCTCACCGAGCAATCAAGGCGAAGCTGAATCAGTGACTTTTTTATTTTTTATTTACATGACAGTTCTTCTGATAGTGGTATTTATCACAACTGTTAGCTGAATCATGGGGAGGAGTTCTGATTTTCACCTGGTTTTCTTTTTGCTCTTTTTTTTTTTTGTTATTGTTGTTCCCTGAGGTCCTGGATACTTTGTTTTATTGCTGGTACAGTGGTATCATGGGCCCTGATATACTGGGACTTTGTATACATGGCGTATCTTTTGGTAGGGAGTCTGAAATAACTAGGATTTGCTGTTGGATCTCCCTGGCTAGATCAATATTTCTGGTTCTGTACTGTGGGAAGCACTGGCTTCTCATCCATGCTTGTGTTTGACTGTGTCAGATGTGGTTTCTATAGATACGTGCATGTATTTAAATCTTGCATTAGTTCTGATAATCCTGATCCTTTTACTTTATTCCAGGTGCTCGTTCTGGGGCAGTGTTTTTGTACTGTCAGGCCGATGAGATTAAACAACATCCACTTTGAAAACGGTGTTTTCGTCATGCTTCTTGCAGAACATTGCTGCATAGATCTATGTGAATAAAGCCAACTAACCTCAGTCGTTTCTTTCATGGCTTCACCAAGTGCATATCCCGCATACTTTTGGGGGCGGTCTTGGTGCTGCAGGTGGTTTTGTCCTGTTGCTGACAAAGCTGTTGATAATTCCAGAAAACTTTGTCAGAACACCAGTTTTTAGGAATAATAGCGTTACATATTCCTGGCGATGCTGATTCCGTCACTGCCTTTGATGACATTTACAGTGTAATAGCTTTTGATCTAAAACTTAGGACTGTGGAGGCAACAGTTCCTTTCCCCTTGCACCTTGTTTCTTCAGTTAAATATGAAAGCTAGCAATAGACAAATGTTAGTTGCAATTTTGGTAGGTGTTTCGGAAAAATCCAGGAAGGCCCCAGTTCTGTGCATTTTTAGTAAGTTAGAGTTGGACCTTTTCTGTTTCTTGATGATTAGTGAATTCTTCCAGGAGATTCTTACATTGCTGTTAGAATCAAGCCTTTAAAAATTCAGCCGTGATGTCAATCTCTGGAACATGTGGTGCTGAAGATATTGAGAATTAGCTCCCCACTTGTGTGGGTCTCTTCATTTTTCTTTAAGTATGCAAACAGAAGTGGAGTTACTAAGCATTCCTCTGGTTATGTCAGACTCTGTTGTGACAAGCCAGCATGTGTCTCCAGTCTTTACTTCCACTTTTCCCACAGCTCTTTTGTATAGTTTGAGTAAATATGAAGAGTTTTCAGAATTTGGAGGGCTCGGGCTTCAAACCTGCTGCTTAATTTTAGTAATGAGTATAATGTAGCGGGCTAATCTGATGAAATGCGTATATGAGGTTTATGACGGAAGTAGCATGTACACTTTCTAGCAGTATAGGACTGATAAAAATAACAGCAGTTCAGTGAAAGCAGCACTGGAGTTTGGTTTCCTGTGGCTTTGATTCATAACGACTTTCACCCACGTGGTTCCCTGATGCCTGTCTGCAGGGGAAAGAGGAGCCCTGCGCATATCTCGTGTACCTTGTTACCTTAAGAAAATATGTTAGAAACAAATTATAGCAATGCTTTTTTTAATGTTAGTATGGCTTGTGTAGTGAGAACCAGTCAACAGGCATTAATTATTTAAAATGAGGTCAGATCGTAGCTTCTTCTGAACTGTGCTTAATTAAGATGGTGGTAAGCCCTGTGGTACAGGGAAATAGCATGTTTCAGTCGAAGTAGGGCTGCATGTGCTTGTACACCTAACATGTAACTGAGGTAATTACCTGCAGTGTCGGTTGTTCTAAACCTGTGTAAGTTTGTGCTGTACGTAAAAAGAGTCTGTTCTTTGAGTGCCTGCTCGTGTTCAGAATATGGACAAGCATGGATACTTGTGCACTGCAAGCAGTCAAGATCATACATGTCTTGCCCCGCCAGTACCTCTTTGTTTTAGTTGCTGTTTGCTGCTGAGGTGTATTGTGTGGTCCTCAGTTCCTCTTGGATGGCCTCAGTGAGATGAAGTGCCTCCTTGCTCTGTGCATTGGTGTGGAGTTGGGGGTTATTAGCCATCCGTCTTCCATCTGTGGAGAATGAGCTTTTTAGCTTAATATCTAAGAAGATTTCAAACACCCAAAAAGACTATAGAGCAATCTGTTGGTCTTTAAGGATGAGCAAATGGGATTCTGAGTAGTCAGTGTGTACATCACACCTATGCTGGAGAGCGTCAGTCTACTCCACCCCTAGCTGGTCACCCCCGTAGGCTGGAGGATGCCTGGGTGGGATTAATGCAAATCTGTTACTGCCAAGACCTTGTCTTCTAGGCAGCATCTTCGCAGCTGTACCAAAGAGGTACAACTTGCTTCTGTCTTTGCTTTCTATGTTCCCTTCAGTGGCAGAATTTTGAACTGTTTCTGGGGACTTGCCTCATGAAATCTTATTCTTGCTGTTCTCTGACTGACAGAGATAGTTTTTTCTTACATGAGATGTTAGCTTGAGCTATGACTGCACAGGACAAAGCTACTCAGATGTTCCAAGAGGCTGTTCTGCATCTCTAGCTGTGATCCCACAGCACAGCAAAAGTGTTGTCAGTGAACATGGTGCGCTCCACCTGAGACTGGGGCTGTTCGATGGTATCACATACACCGTGCTGAGATCCTGGACAGCTGGAAGGCAATCTGGGTGCTCTGGAGCAGCTTTCATCAGAAGTGATGGCTTTGCTCACTTCAGGAGATCTCGCCAGCAGTGAATATGAGCTCTGTGGTTGCTGTCTGCATGAGGAGTTTCCTACAGAGGAATTTGTAGCACTGGCTGGAGTCATCCCCCATGGAAAAGTGCATATGGACACTACAGCCCTGAAGTTCAGCTGTTTGAAGGCAGCAGCTTCCTTTGTTTGCCTGTCATTACCTGTCTTATGTTGTTTGTTACTGGCAAGAGCTGCATGCACTCCAAATTGCCTGGCTAATAGGTTTTTTCAAACTGGAAGTATTTTGTGAAATAAAATAATCAATACCTCCCTTGTGAGTGATGTTTAAAAAATGTTAATATTTTCCATTGCATCACCAGCGATGCAATTAGTTCTAATATTGGCAATAATAAAAGCAATGATAGCAACACGGCCAGATCTACAAAGCAGTTTAGGTACCTAAAAATCTAGAGCAAAGCTGCTGAAAGTCTCCATCACATCTACCTGTAGGCATCTAAATAGCTTATAAATCAGTATTTCTGTCATGAACTGTGTTCTTTTTGTAGGTAATGATATCCAAAAAGCATGGTGTAGAAATACATGACTTCAGTGTTTTTTTTTTTAACCAAAGCTCAATAAACTGTATATCATACTGGTATAAATATAAATTCTAACATACTGAACCTCTGATTGGCATGTCTTGCTGCTTTTTTTCACTTTTCTAATGGATGAAGCTATTTATGTGTTTGATCCTGTCTGTGAATCGTCTGTGTGCTTTCACTATACACAGTGCTGAACAGACTGATACTGCAGGCCTGAGAGCATCATGCACAGGTCTTGCGTTTAGAAGGTGACAGGTGGGAGTCAAGCTACAGTAGTGTGTATATTTTTATTAACTTAGTAGCTCTGGGTTACTTTTAGACTTGTGCTTACAAATGTCTTTGAACCTGCTGAGATAGCAAGGTGTACGCAGGGGCTAGTTAGTGTGTGCAGTGTGCTGGCAGTCTGGACATAGTCCTTTTCTGGTACTTTATTTGGATGCTCCAGTAATGCTGTAAATAAAGTATTAATACACTGATTTGCTTCTTCCTTACTATTGTGATTACCTCCGATTATATTCTGTATCTCTTCCATGTCATGCC